CACAACGAAACACACAGCGCCTTCACGACATGGCGGCGGCGGCAACAACAATACTACAGCGAGAATAAAAGTTACGCCTTCTTTCTTTGCGTGAACATTTGGGCGGTGTTATGCAAATCTTCCCACATCGTGACGTAGACATGTGGGGGCGTGTTAGAACGAGCCGTTTTAGGTAGGCGTGGTTGACTCTTAACTTTTATAAAGTATATCTCTTTGGATTTGAGACTTTAATCTTTGCAACTTTACAGATCTTCTTTATGCACCAAGAGCTTGTAACACTTCAAAGAGAAAGGAAAAATTGAAATCGCATCATATGACCCCTTTAAGGGTCTTATGCACAATTCATTAGTGAACATTATTTTAAAGAGAAAAATAATTATGCAAATGATTGCATATTAAAAATGTAATAACTTTATCCTCTTCTGTAATGACTTTTCTGCATAGGCAGGGAAAAGTAAAATCAGTAATGTCATAATCTACTTTTCTACAATCAAATACCAATGGATTTGGTCCTGGTTTTCATTATTTCCTCATGAATATTCTGTTTTACTCAGGAATATGTTATTACAGAAGTTGCATTGTGAATGCTGTTTCGCATTGTCTAATACAGTTTTTACTCCTTTAATATATCTTTGTACATCTTGCACGAGATACTGAAAATTAATGCGTTTCTGATTATTAAGGTGGCTGAAAGAGATGAGATTTTACCAGATCTACCTCAGACTTTCCCCACATACACACATATGCACAAACTTCACAAATGAACGCAAACCACTGAATATTTATGTATACAAATGCTCACACACAAACACACACAGCTTCATTTCTTTATCAGTTCAGCATCTACGTCCTCTTCAGGTTTAAGGGCGTGCCATTGAGCGATGGGTCTTCTTGGATTGGCTAACATATCTGACCAATGGCGTTGCTCCGTTCCTGTGCTGTTTAGTCCTATGAGAACCTTTCCAATGGCATCATTCTTCCCAATTTTGTCATAGTCCAGGACTGTCACCACAACCTGAACTTTCTAAAAGGAGACATAAGAATAGTCCAGAACCATTAATGTGTTCAGTTTCAGAAGACAGGCAGAAATGAAACTTCAACTCTACCTGGATCTGCTCAGATGGTACTTCAAAGCTAAATGATTCGTTGTAATACGGGTTCAGTGTGTTCTTCTTAATTGTGGTTTTCTTTTTCTTCAGCCTTTTGCCGTTCTGCATCAGGTGGATTTTTACATATGGGTCTGTAGAACAGATAAATAATGTCTGAATTACTATGGTGAAATGGCATTTCAGATCTGTATTTTGCAATGTGTCAGTATATAAGGTAACTTCACTTTTTCCACTCACCTGAGAGGCCACCCACATCCATTTTTTTGAGGTTTTTGGCCTCTAGAACGACAACAGTCAGCTTTCCAGCAGTCGGTACGTAGCGCAGAGACAAGCAAATATCACCTAACCGCTCATGCTGTTGAGTCAACAACGAAAAGTCAGGTATTATTTCACTGTCACATGCAGTAATTCATGATTACATATGGAAATGGAATAAATATAAATAATTCTGTTTCATTTCTAAGGAAGTAGATATTTAAAATATTAAAAATTGATAGAGCATTATCAGTTGTTGAACATGTTTTTCAATATGAGTTACTCATATACTTGCATAATAAATGTATATAATTTGTATATTTACATGCATTATGTAAATATTAATATAATGTGTTAATGTCACACATTTTTTACATTTTTACCTTTAACAATGTATTTAAGATCAGTATAACTAAGTGTAAATAAATAGTTAGCCTAAATAAGTGTATATAATTTCAAGACTTCTTATAAATTATAAACATATTTAAATATTACTGTTTGTTACATACATTTAAATATGTAAATATTAAATTAACATGGTTAATATGTCTGATGAACATGGTTCATAAGTCTAAGTGGCCGTCCATGACATGCGGAGTCCCACAAGGCTCAATTTTTGCACCGCTCTTGTTTAGCCTGTATATGCTCCCAGAATATATATTAATATTATTTTCAAATGTTATAATAAATAATCTGTACAATTAGAATAAATATTATTATAGTTTTTATGTTTTATTGCAAAGCTCGCTTGTGTTGGGTCGCCGTGATTTTGCCAAGTAAGACATGTTCCTGGATCAACATCTTTTGATGATCCTGGATCAACATTAATGTCCAAAAATATGGACTTAAGTTAACCCAATCCCTACCCCTAAACCTAACCCTACCCATAATTTATTCCTAAAAACAGTGGGAAATTTGATTAACAAGAGTGTAGAAGCACCTAACCCTGATTGTAAGCCTAAAACAGATACTTCCTGAAAAGTTATATCTCTATTCTGATTGGTTGATTGGAATGTTGTTCCAGGATCAACAAGGATGTTGATCCAGGAACATGTTGTACTTGGTGAAATCACGCTCACCCTTGTGTTGGACTAAAGAAATCCCATTGTTTGGGGTCATTCCAATTCGCCATGAATTCAACTATGCAATGTGACCTATTCAATTCAGATTCAGACATGATCTTTCTGAGCCATGAAAAAGTTTTTGGCCCAACCCTGCATGTATTCAAGATTCCCTTCCTCACTCGTACCTCCTCTTTCTCTGCTTTCTGCAGATCTCTCCACTCTTCTGTAAGCTGACTGAAGTCCATTTTATTAATCTGCACCCTCACATCCCCAATAGCATCATGTTTGGAGAAACGGTCAAAGTCATACACTGTCATGACCAGCGTCTTTCCCCCGAGCTCTGCATATGGAACCTGCAGACAGAATATGAGAGTAGGCCTATCCATACATCTGACACACATTTTAATGCAGTTAAATGCATTATTGTCCCAATAGCACATTGTGAATTTGTATGCTGTGACCTCTATAACATTCTTGCCATGAAGGATTTTTAGTGCAAGTGGATTTTAAGTTGTACCTTAAAGGTGAAGTGCTCATTAAAAGTCGGATCTAGTGTTTTGCGGTGAACTTTTGTCTCAAACTTTTTCTTCTTGTCAGGGAGGAGGTAGACTTTAACATATGGATCCGAAGTGCCGCTCATATCCATAGCAGCAAGACCTTCTGCCTCAACCACACCTACAATTAACTGGACAAGAAAGAATATTCATTAAAAATGATTCAGAATTTTAATTTTAAAATAAAGTTTTCCACATTACATTACAATAAAAGCCCTCTGCAGATAAAAAAAAACCCTGCCGAAGCAAGTTTATCTCGTTAATATGGATTTTAATGACTGGTCGCTGATTTGTATTCATACCGCGCTGTCAGTGAAGTTGTAGTCAAGGGTATAGTGAAGTTTTCCAAGTTTTGCAGCCTCTTTAGACTCAGAATCCTCTTCCTTGTGATCAGAATCATTGCCGTGATGAACAGCCTGTAAATACAACCATCTAAATGCCAGTAATTACCATGGACATGCCCACCGACATTATTATATATATATACTGTATATAGACACACTACATATATATATATATAGAGAGAGAGAGAGAGAGACACACCACGCCATTGACGGAATTTTTTTTTAGCAGTGACGGAATAATTTGAAGGCCGTGTCCGTCATTTTGACAGATTACACTGAGGGTAATCTATTGTAATTTACAACTGTAATTCCCAACCTGTCCAGTTGGTGGCGAGTGCGCTCCAGTGTGGCAGCAGAGCGCGGGATCATCAGCTCCAGAACAAAAATAAAAGCGTTTTACGAGTCTTTTGCTATGAGTTTGAGGCGAGTACCCAGTTATGCGATCTATCAGACCACATTAAAGTGCGCCAAAACGGTATTTATTGCTTGAATTTCCTAATAAAAT